TGTAATATATTTTTCTGAGTCATAAAATACAGTAAAGTGCATGTACTTAGTTATTAAAATACATTAAAAAACAAGTTTTTATGTAAGAATAAAGGAATATCTGAAGATTTTGCACAAGCAACTAGCATGAAGACTGCATTAAAAGCATAAAAGAATTTTGTTGATTTTACTTAGAAATACAGTAGTTTTGCTAGGGTTTGAGCTCTTCAATTACATAACTCATATTGCAAGATTCAAGTATGAAATTTCCTAGCACTAGACAGTAATTTGAGTATGATGCCAGTGACTCATATCTCAGGGATAGGGCATATGACTCTGATTCATTCCCCAAATATGGCATGATGTTTGGCAGGTCTCCTTACATACACATGCCTGCTGTCCTAGCAATAGACAGATACAGTACCTAAGAGTTAATTTGCTGTCTCAGGTCACACACTGAATTCGAATTCAATGGAGATCTTTTGTGTTCACCTTCCCTGAGGAACATACAACAAGCAAGGTACTTACACTTTGGCTTTGTGTTTAGCATTTAATTTTTTTGACAAGGGAACATAAACCATTCTGCAACTCATATGAAAATAGCTTATGTTTTCTACAAAGTATTTAATTTTTCACTATACCAAATGCCTTTTGTAAGTCCAAGATTACCATCTCTGTAAAATTTCTTATATTTGAGTCTTGATAAATTGTATTTGTTAAGATGAATTAATCAGGTTTAAGTTACATAAGACTCCCAGGATACTTGGTTACTGTAGGAAATATGACCATTTCACTCATTTACACTCAATTACCACTACTACACTCAACTACCGCTACTACAATCAAGTATCACCACTATATTCAACTTCCACTACTACTCTCAACTATCACGGCAACTGTCAATTATCACGACTACACTCAAGTATCATTACTTCACTCAACTATCACCAATACACTCGACTACCAACATTATATTTAAGTATCACCACTATACTCATCCATCACCACTTCACTCATTTACACACAACTACTACTACTACTACTAAGCTATGGCTACTACAGTCAGCTAGCACTACTACACTCTACTTGAAACACTACACTTATACTCGACTAACTTTAATACCTCTTTGCTTCAGAATATTCTACTCTTTCAAGGATTTTAGAACTTTAATTTGAAATACTGTAAGTTTTATAACTGTACCTCTTTTTTTTTTTATTAGCACACTGGCCGATTCCCATCAAGGCAGGGTGGCCCAAAAAAGAAAAACTTTCACCATACTGCAACATTAACACCCCTCCTTCAGAGTGCAGGCACTGTACTTCCCATCTCCAGGACTCAAGTCCGGCCTGCCGGTTTCCCTGAATCCCTTCATAAATGTTACTTTTCTCACACTCCAACAGCATGTCAAGTATTAAAAGCCATTTGTCTCCATTCACTCCTATCAAACACGCTCACGCATGCCCGCTGGAAGTCCAAGCCCCTCGCACACAAAAACCTCCTTTACCCCCTCCCTCCAACCTTTCCTAGGCCGACCCCTACCCCACCTTCCTTCCACTACAGACTGATATACTCTTGAAGTCATTCTGTTTCGCTCCATTCTCTCTACATGTCCAAACCACCTCAACAACCCTTCCTCAGCCCTCTGGACAACAGTTTTGGTAATCCCGCACCTCCTCCTAACTTCCAAACTTACGAATTCTCTGCATTATATTCACACCACACATTGTCCTCAGACATGACATCTCCACTGCCTCCAGCCTTCTCCTCGCTGCAACATTCATCACCCATGCTTCACACCCATATAAGAGCGTTGGTAAAACTATACTCTCATACATTCCCCTCTTTGCCTCCAAGGATAAAGTTCTTTATCTCCACAGACTCCTAGGTGCACCGCTCACCCTTTCCCCCTCATCAATTCTATGATTCACCTCATCTTTCATAGACTAATCCGCTGACACGTCCACTCCCAAATATCTGAATACATTCACCTCCTCCATACTCTCTCCCTCCAATCTGATATCCAATCTTTCATCACCTAATCTTTTTGTTATCCTCATAACCTTACTCTTTCCTGTATTCACTTTAATTTTCTTCTTTTACATACCCTACCAAATTCATCCACCAACCTCTGCAACTTCTCTTCAGAATCTCCCAAGAGCACAGTGTCATCAGCAAAGAGCAGCTGTGACAACTCCCACTTTATGTGTGATTCTTTATCTTTTAACTCCACGCCTCTTGTCAAGACCCTCGCATTTACTTCTCTTACTACCCCATCTATAAATATATTAAACAACCATGGTGACATCACACATCCTTGTCTAAGGCCTACTTTTACTGGGAAATAATCTCCCTCTTTCCTACATACTCTAACTTGAGTCTCACTATCCTCGTAAAAACTCTTCACTGCTTTCAGTAACCTACCTCCTATACCATACACCTGCAACATCTGCCACATTGCCCCCCTATCCACCCTGTCATACGCCTTTTCCAAATTCATAAATGCCACAAAAACCTCTTTAGCCTTATCTAAATACTGTTCACTTATATGTTTCACTGTAAACACCTGGTCCACACACCCCCTACCTTTCCTAAAGCCTCCTTGTTCATCTGCTATCCTATTCTCTGTCTTACTCTTCTTTCAATAATAGCTCTACCAGACACTTTACCAGGTATACTGTAAGTTCTATAACTGTAGCTTTAAAACTGGTAATAAAGATGCAGTACAAGACAGAAAATGGTCAAAAGTAAGTAAAACCTGCTTGGCATAAGTGAGTAGACCTACTGCAGTGCTGCTATTTTAATATTCTAACATTATGTAGTAAGGGAGAAAAAGTTAGCATATGAGAAGTTTTTACAAAGTAGAAGTGATGCAAGGAGGGAAGAGTATATGGAGAAAAAGAGAGAAGTTAAGAGAGTGGTGAAGCAATGTAAAAAGAGAGCAAATGAGAGAGTGGGTGAGATGTTATCAACAAATTTTGTTGAAAATAAGAAAAAGTTTTGGAGTGAGATTAACAAGTTAAGAAAGCCTAGAGAACAAATGGATTTGTCAGTTAAAAATAGGAGAGGAGAGTTATTAAATGGAGAGTTAGAGGTATTGGGAAGATGGAAGGAATATTTTGAGGAATTGTTAAATGTTGATGAAGATAGGGAAGCTGTGATTTCGTGTATAGGGCAAGGAGGAATAAAATCTTGTAGGAGTGAGGAAGAGCCAGTTGTGAGTGTGGGGGAAGTTCGTGAGGCAGTAGGTAAAATGAAAGGGGGTAAGGCAGCCGGGATTGATGGGATAAAGATAGAAATGTTAAAAGCAGGTGGGGATATAGTTTTGGAGTGGTTGGTGCAATTATTTAATAAATGTATGGAAGAGGGTAAGGTACCTAGGGATTGGCAGAGAGCATGCATAGTTCCTTTGTATAAAGGCAAAGGGGATAAAAGAGAGTGCAAAAATTATAGGGGGATAAGTCTGTTGAGTGTACCGGGTAAAGTGTATGGTAGAGTTATAATTGAAAGAATTAAGAGTAAGACGGAGAATAGGATAGCAGATGAACAAGGAGGCTTTAGGAAAGGTAGGGGGTGTGTGGACCAGGTGTTTTTACAGTGAAACATATAAGTGAACAGTATTTAGATAAGGCTAAAGAGGTCTTTGTGGCATTTATGGATTTGGAAAAGGCGTATGACAGGGTGGATAGGGGGGCAATGTGGCAGATGTTGCAAGTGTATGGTGTAGGAGGTAGGTTACTGAAAGCAGTGAAGAGTTTTTACGAGGATAGTGAGGCTCAAGTTAGAGTATGTAGGAAAGAGGGAAATTTTTTCCCAGTAAAAGTAGGCCTTAGACAAGGATGTGTGATGTCACCGTGGTTGTTTAATATATTTATAGATGGGGTTGTAAGAGAAGTAAATGCGAGGGTTTTGGCAAGAGGCGTGGAGTTAAAAGATAAAGAATCACACACAAAGTGGGAGTTGTCACAGCTGCTCTTTGCTGATGACACTGTGCTCTTGGGAGATTCTGAAGAGAAGTTGCAGAGATTGGTGGATGAATTTGGTAGGGTGTGCAAAAGAAGAAAATTAAAGGTGAATACAGGAAAGAGTAAGGTTATGAGGATAACAAAAAGATTAGGTGATGAAAGATTGAATATCAGATTGGAGGGAGAGAGTATGGAGGAGGTGAACGTATTCAGATATTTGGGAGTGGACGTGTCAGCGGATGGGTCTATGAAAGATGAGGTGAATCATAGAATTGATGAGGGAAAAAGAGTGAATGGTGCACTTAGGAGTCTGTGGAAACAAAGAACTTTGTCCTTGGAGGCAAAGAGGGGAATGTATGAGAGTATAGTTTTACCAACGCTCTTATATGGGTGTGAAGCGTGGGTGATGAATGTTGCAGCGAGGAGAAGGCTGGAGGCAGTGGAGATGTCATGTCTGAGGGCAATGTGTGGTGTGAATATAATGCAGAGAATTCGTAGTTTGGAAGTTAGGAGGAGGTGCGGGATTACCAAAACTGTTGTCCAGAGGGCTGAGGAAGGGTTGTTGAGGTGGTTCGGACATGTAGAGAGAATGGAGCGAAACAGAATGACTTCAAGAGTGTATCAGTCTGTAGTGGAAGGAAGGCGGGGTAGGGGTCGGCCTAGGAAGGGTTGGAGGGAGGGGGTAAAGGAGGTTTTGTGTGCGAGGGGCTTGGACTTCCAGCAGGCATGCGTGAGCGTGTTTGATAGGAGTGAATGGAGACAAATGGTTTTTAATACTTGACGTGCTGTTGGAGTGTGAGCAAAGTAACATTTATGAAGGGATTCAGGGAAACCGGCAGGCCGGACTTGAGTCCTGGAGATGGGAAGTACAGTGCCTGCACTCTGAAGGAGGGGTGTTAATGTTGCAGTTTAAAAACTGTAGTGTAAAGCACCCTTCTGGCAAGACAGTGATGGAGTGAATGATGGTGAAAGTTTTTCTTTTTCGGGCCACCCTGCCTTGGTGGGAATCGGCCGGTGTGATAATAAAAAAAAAAAAAAAAAAACATTATGTTCTTTACCTCTGTTGCTACATTTTCCCACTCTTCACTGAGCAAGTTCACCATATCCACCGAAGTTTGCTTTGCCACTCCAGGTCGGACAACACCCGACCCAGCTCCAAATCCCGTTTTGGGCTTCTTTCCCAGTATGCCAGATGTCCCGGTTCCTCCATCTCGAACTCGGTCACCAGAGGCCCCTAGTAATGATTTTAACAAGATTTATCAATGTCGTGTTTTAGCAATCTGAAAAAGAACCTTTAAAACAAAAAACTGAATGATTATACAATAATCTTACTTAACACAGTCATAGAATTTATTAGTCAGTAATAACTGCACAGCATTTTATTAAAAGTCCATAGTTTCTTCATAATGATAAAATTGTTTACAGCTTTAATAACTGATAAAATTTGATCACATTACCAGTTACTGTATATAAAGATTAAAAACTGTCAGTCCTCTGGATAATTAGCAGAGATGATATAGTAGAGGATGTGATCATGTAGTCACCAAAGAAGTAATCAGCAAGTGTCTTAGCTGTTCCCAGGGGACAAAAATGTTCTACAAATAAAAGTATAGAGAAAAGTTCTGATATCTCCAGTCTGCTACAGCGAGGTATTGTGGAGGGAGGATGTGGAGTGGTAACAACCTGACATCCTCAACTCATATTTTTTCTGTTTATTTTTTTTATCCTATGGGTGTGTCATTATTGTTATGGAGTCTGAATGTTATTTTTGTAGTTGCAAGTGGCATTTTGAAAATGTTCATAATTAGGAAGGTGGAGAAGTGGTTAATAAATTTGTCAGTAAATATGCTGACTTTTGGGAGATATATGGGAAGGTCCCTTTACATCCACTGGCCTTGTTCTCCTAGCAATAACAGGTATGTGGGGGTTAGTTGAATACTGTGGGTTGCTTAATGGGGATGGTCAAAGGCCAGTACTCGAATCTCCAGTGACATACAGTAATGAAGCTGCACACCCAGCAAATGAAAATCAATAAATTTACTGCAAATGAGAAAATGACAATACAGTAATACAAAGAGGCAAAAATGAAAAAAAGAGGTTCCAAAATAAAAAGGAACCCCAAGTGTCTCAGGTGATAACATATGATCATTTTGGGCCAGTACGGGCTAGTACACTACCAGCAATGACAGCCTGGTTGATTAGGCAAGCACCAGACAAACCTGGCCTGGGCCTGGGCTGCATGAGTAGGAAAACTCTCAAAAGCATTCAAAGGTATATCAAAGGTAGTGAAGTGCTACAACAGCAGGAGCTGTACTGAGCCCATCCAGAGTTCAGCTTTGAAAGGTTGCCCAACATTAGAGAATACAGAAAAGAAAATTCAATAGTTGTTGCCCTAAAAAAAAAGTGGACCATACCATCATAAACGTGGGTAAAGCCCAACACCCGCACCTCACCAGGGCCAGCAAACAAGTTTTCCCAAAATTAAGCAATATCTGCAGAACAAAACAAGAAACTAGTATTTAGTACTTAATTGAGAATGCTGAGCCAGAAGGAAGTAACTAATGTTTCAAAACAAAGGTTCAGGAGATGATACCAAACAAATCCTGTAAATGTCTTTTAGATAAAACATGATGAGAACTGTATTTAAATATCATACTGGAACTACAGTACAAACTACATGTACAGATGTACAAGTGAGAGAGCTCACTACAGACAATTTTATACACTTTATTTAAACCTTAAACTGTGTCTAACGTGTTAGTACACAACTGATAATTATGTGTCTAACATACTAGTATGCACAGGTTTTCATGTCGTCAAATCAATCACTTGCCAATATTTTTTACCTCAACACAATTCTTTGGGTCTTCTATTATCTCTTCATACATTTAAAAAAATTCTAAGGCCATAAGGGTCCACACAGTGAATGACTATGTCTAAATAGTATAAGTAAGCAATGAAATCAGGAGCTGTTGTTCTGCCAGCTTCTGTACCAGCAAACAGGTGTGGAACTGACATGAAAATGACTTTTTCATTCCAAATTTATTACAATTTCATGATACTAACTACTGTATAGAATTAAGCCATAAAGCACACTTAAGCAGATTTAACCCATGATAACCTATTAATAAATTCAAACAATGTGATTTATTTCCTTGTTTCAATGAGTATTACACTCTGAAATAATTGTAATATCATAGGATTTTGTTGTAAATACTGTATATGTTTTACAGTAGTCTGGAAGGTACACAGGTGTTATGGACACTGAATGTTTATATAACCCAGGATATATACTCCTTGAAACAACTACAATATTATAAGTATTCCTTATACATTGTGTTAGAAGACCAAAATAGTAATAAAAAAAAAAATATTGCAAGTGGAGCAATGTCAGGCTGAGCATTTCCATATGTTTTAAGTGCTAAAACATCTTTGAACACATCAAATATCATAAGAAACTAGTGTAGTACTACACATTAATAGCAAATAAAAAATAAAAAAGCGATCAAAATCCAGAATCAATAAATTGTAAAACATAAATGTTGCTGGCACATTTACACCATTGTTGCTGATGAGTGACTAATTTTTTTGTCGACTTCAACACACCATAAAATCGTAAGTTTTCATCAGATTCCCCTCATTTTAGTCTTATTTGAATAATAAAAATGAACCTTTTTCATTCTATAAGATTTTTTTTTTTCAAAATCTTCCCACAAGCAGGATTTTTTGGGGAGTATGCCATAGTTTAAGGGTAAATAAAGACCCCGGGCTCTTCATTACAATTTTCTTCTGGCACATAAATTCCCTAATCTTATTATACATAACAACTATGCTGCTCATTGTAAGGGATAAACAATTATTTGTTGTGCAAATTGTTTAATTTGGTGATATCAGACAAAACAAGAATATAATTTATTATGTAAATTATTTTTTATTAAGTGGGTAGTGCAATAATCTAGGCAGTTGTCTTAAACATTTAAGAAGCTTTATTTTGATAAGTATATCTAATAAAATAATCCAACCTAACCCAACTAAACCTTACATGAATTAGACCAGCCGTAAAATTATTGGCTTATTCAGAGTGAATAAGATAAGACAAGATGAAAGAATTCATTTGGATTTTTAACCCAGAAAGTTAGCCACCCAATTATTATTATTATTATAATCAAGGGGGAAGCGCTAAACCCGGAGGATTATACAGCACCTGGGGGGGGGATATGTGGAAGGCATTCAGGCTTAATTCGGGGAACTGGAGCACAGATCCAATTCCCTAAATCAAGAGCCCCTCACCAACATCAAGGAACCTTCCTTGAGGGGTTAGCCACCCAAGATAACTCAAAAAAGATGTATTTGGATCTTTTAATCTTGTCCCCCAGGATGCAACCCATACTCGTTGATGCACTGCCTTTCTTAAGATATAAAATTTTGTTCGGATTTTTAACCCTGGAGGGTTATCCTGGGTGGCTAACCCTTTAGGGTTAAAAATCCTAACAAAATCTAATCTCTTATCTCTTAGACACTTAATATAAATATCTCTATTACAAGTTTAATACTGGAAAATTTACACAGTAATTGACTGACTTACAGTTCTACAATCTACATTTGTTTTACACTAGTAATCTGTTTGTAGAGCATCAGCAAGTGATGCACTAACTTACCTGATGACTTACTAGCAACAAATGATGACCCGTGACTGGAATTCTTGTCTATCTGAGTGTCACTCCGGCCAGACTTGTTGCCAAGTGTTATCAGGTTACCAGGTAGTGGCACGTTCTTGGGCTTGGCTCCCCGGGGGCCTTTACGCTCCATTGTAGTACACACTGTTGTCACCAGGACAGTGCTACACTACATTGTTACCTGGTCTACTGTGTCTAGTGGAACACTCTGAGGTTACTCTGCACGGATGTCCTGTTGGAGTGTCCTGTTGGAGTGTCCTGTTGGAGTGTCCTGTTGGAGTGTCCTGTTGGTGTCAATCCTGGATTAACGTTACCTTTCTGTGGTATGGAACGTGACCTACAAGGCTTAGTTATGCTGTTCTTATGTCTTTAGGCCAAGTTCACATTGTATTTACACCAAAAGACTAAACAACAAGCAAAGAAAATCAGTTTAACAGAGAAATGAAAACTTATCCTGGTGTTGTTGGGTATGTAAAGGTCACTAACGGCTTGCGTTGTATAGCTCCCTGCTTCCTTATGTTCATAAAAATGTTCCCAAGATGACTCAATCTAATGACACGATTGCGGGTTCTAACCTCACTCCTGGTATGGTTTTATGTTCCCAAGATGTTGCCGAAGCTGAACCATGAAAGAAAGGTGAAGAGGATTCCCTTTGTAAATAGAAACAGAAACTAGAAGTTGCCGATTAGATAAGGTGGACCCCAGGTGACAAGCCATGGGCGGGACGCCCACTTCAGCTGAGTCTAGTAACCGGCTTCCCAATAAAACCGTTAAAGAATTATCAGCAGAGCGGAAAAATGGAGTCGACCAAAATGGGAAAGATTGTGGACAGTGGAGTCAGAGTGCACATTCAAATTCAAATTCAAATTCAAAGTTTATTCTCTATAAAGATTACAATGTTGAATTTACAGAATTTGGTTGTTGTGTGGTTTACATGTAGTTAAATAATGATTACAGAGTGTACCACTAGAACGCCTAGCATGGCTAGGCATTTCGGGCAGACTTAGTTTAATTCTTTATTTTACAATATTACAAATTATGAGGTAAGTTGGTATTATGGCTAAGTAACTAAATACTAGTTTGTGAGTTTAGCAATGTGAATGCTTTTGTTTTGGCACAGTACATAGTTTCAGTATTGGAGTATCATAGGATTCATTATTTTAAGATTGAGATTAATATTTCTGTTTATGGTCAAATGGGAGAGTGAGTGTAAGTGTGAACCCCCGGGTGGTATTCGTGTAGTTAGTTGAGGGGTTTTTAAATCGGGAGATAAGATGTTTTCTAAGGGTTTAGTTTTGAAGGTGATGAATGTGTCTGCATTTTAAAAATTTAAAAAGGTTTAGGGTTTCCAGATTTTAGGTTTTTGGGACAAAAAATTGAATTTTTTGAAAAAGGTTTAGTCGGCCCAGGGGGGAATTTGTCGTATAGTTGTTTTGTCTGGTGTTATCCCTGTGGGTTTTCTGTACAAATATCAAAAAAAGGGTTTTAGGTCAGGTTGATTTTTGGAGTTTAAGGGCCCTGTGTGTAGATTCCCACAGTAGTAAGTGTGGATGTATTGAACGGGGGGTTAATTTTAAGTTTAAATTAAGAGTGGGGGGGGGGGTGTTGCCAGGGATGGATTTAGTGATTTTTTCTTACGGCCAGCTTTTTTTGGGGGTTAAATTATTGGTTTTAGGTGTTTTGCCCCGTTGTCCCCAAAGCAAAATAGCAAGTGAGGTATGGTAAATAAGGGGTGGTATAGTGTGAGAAGGGCATTTTGCGGGCAACGAAAAGTATGTATCTTGAAGGGGCCCCCCAATTTTTTTGGAAATACTTTTTTGGGTATGTGTTGGATATGGGTGCTGAAATTAGTTTTGTTGTCAATTTTTGTCATTTCTGTGGAAATTGGTGTCACGCCCCTTGTGCAGATATCCAAAAAAACTAGCTACAAGAGTATTAAAAAGGGAAAAGTGTTTTTGGGTATGCCCAAATGAGATAAATTTTGTGGACTTTAAAAAACACAAGGGTTTTTAAAGAGGTCAACATCAAAGCGGGTTTTATAGAAAAACCCGGAAGCTTTTTTCAAACCCGATGGGAACATAAAAGTTTCCGGGGGGAAAGGTTTTCTGCCCTTGAACTGGCCATGTAGTCGAAACTGTAAGGCTGGGGGATGAGGGCCTGGTAGTCAAATAAATGGGGGGCTGATTTTTTTCTGTCCTGGGAGACAGTAATGGGGAAGTGGGAGGTTTCTTTTCCTGGGAGACGTAATGGTGAAGCTGGAGGTGCTTTTCCCGGGAGACAGTAATGGGGAAGCTTTGAGATGCTGTCCTTGGGGGCGTAATGGTTTAAGCTGGGGGATTTTGTCCCCGGGGTTGTCGGGAATTATACGAGGAAGGGGAAACATATAAATTTACCCCCTAGGGGACAGGGGCCATAAATAGGGAAAAAAAGTGTAGCAAAGATAAGATTTAAACCCCAATATTGCAAACTAGAAATACGCAGGAAATAGCAAAACAGAGGACTCCACTAGCAATAGTGAGGATATATTACCAAAAACAAATGGTGGGAGCTCCATTGTTGGTGCTAGGGAGGATAGAAGTAAGACAGGGAAACATGCACCAACAGGGAATACAGTCACAGAAACCAAGGCAAACGGAAACCAAGCCTGTGCACATACTATGCACTCGGTATCTGCTGGCATGGGAAATCTGGAAAAACAGATGGGACGTGCAACTATGACCACCCTAGGAAATGCCATGCCCATATGACAACAGGAAAATGCAAACTCCCTTCCTGTAAGCTTTTTCACCCTGAACTGTGTACCTCTTCAGTACAGGAAAGACTGTGCTATAACTTAAATTGCCAGGCATACCATCTAAAGGGGACAAAAAGATACAAAACATCCAGGCCATGGGAAAACCTGGGTAGCCACAGCCACTCAAGAGGGAGAGGTTTTTTAGTGCCAGGAAGGAAAAAAAACTGGCAGGAAATGGCAGAAATCGTACACCAAATCCAGTCATTCCTGGAGTGGAACCACAGTCGATGGCCTCCACTCCAAACCAACAGATACAGATACTAATGCCGGAAAAAAAATTCCCCCCCAGTACCAACAATACCACCAGTCCGATAACATTCTTCTTTGCAAATATACAGGGTCTAAAGCCAGCAACAAACAACAAAATACCTTTCATCCGTGGACTGCTTGCAGAGGCAAAGGCAATGTTCGCGGCTTTCACTGAGACCCACATAAAGGATCACTTGGACAACGAAATATGGATCCCAGGTTACAACCTATACAGATGTGACAGAGTGAACAGGCAAAAGGGGGGGGTTGGCCTGTACATTGCAGAGTCACTTGTTTGCACAGAACTGCTAAATGCCTCAAATGATGTAGTGGAAGTTTTAGCAGTAAAGGTCGAGAACCAAAACCTAGTCATTGTGATAGTCTACAAGCCTCCGGATGCAACATCCCAGCAATTCCAGGAACAGCTGTTAAAAATTGACCACTGTCTGGAAAACCTTCCAGCTCCTGCACCCAACATCTTGCTCCTGGGGGATTTCAACTTAAGGCACCTAAAATGGAGGAATATAGCAAATAATATTGTTGCAGTATATAACACCAGGAGGCAGCTCTGATGAAAACTCACACTCATGCGAGCTTTTAAATCTCTGCACAAAATTCAATTTAAACCAGCAAATAATAGAGCCTACTAGACTGGAGAATACACTAGACCTCATCTTCACTAACAATGATGATCTGATAAGAAATATCACCATATCAAAAACAATATACTCAGATCACAACATAATTGAGGTTCAGTCATGTATGCGCGGAGCCCCAGACCGACATAATGAGATTAGTCACGAGGGAGCATTCACCAAATTCAACTTCAATAACAAAAACATAAAGTGGGACCAAGTAAACCAAGTCCCTAACCGATATAAGCTGGGAAGATATACTAAGCAAACCACAGACCCCAACTTATGCCTAGAACAGATTAACTCGGTGGCACTCGATGTATGCACAAGGCTTATTTCCTCTAAGAAAAAGGAGGAGTAGATGTAAAACAGAAAGAGACAGGCGCTCCCTTTACAGGCGACGGAAAAAGAATAACAGAGCGGCTAAAAGAGGTCAATATATCTGAAATGCGTAGGGAGACACTGGTCAGAGAAATAGCAAGCATCGAACTTAAGCTAAAAGAATCCTTTAGGAGTCAGGAATCGCGGGAAGAACTAAAAGCCATAAATGAAATCGAAAAAAAACCAAAGTATTTCTTCTCCTTTTGCCAAATCAAATTCGAGAACAACGTCCAGTATTGGGCCCTACTTAAACAAGATGGGTCCTACACAGATGACAGCAAGGAAATGAGTGAGTACTCAAGTCCCAATATGACTCAGTTTTTAGCAAGCCGCTAACCAGATGAGAGTCGAAGATCAAAATGAATTTTTTATGAGAGAGCCACAAATTTTGATTAACACAAGCCTATCCGTGTTATCCTGACGCCAAATGACTTCGAACAGGCGATAAATGACATGCCCATGCACTCTCCCCCAGGGCCAGACTCAGGGAAACTCTGTGTTCATCAAGAACGCAAGAACCCCCTATCACGAGCCTTTTCCATCCTATGGAGAGGGAGCATGGACACGGGGGTCGTCCCACAGTTACAAAAAAACAACAGACATAGCCCCACTCCACAAAGGGGGCAGTAAAGCAACAGCAAAGAACTACAGACCAATAGCACTAACATCCCATATCATAAAAATCTTTGAAAGGGTCCTAAGAAGCAAGATCACCAGCATCTAGAAACCCATCAGTTACAAAACCCCAGGGCAACATGGGTTTTAGAACAGGTCGCTCCTGTCTGTCTAAACTTTTTGGACCACTACGACAAGGCCCTAAATGCACTAGAAGACAAAAAAAATGCAGATGTAATATATACAGACTTTGCAAAACCCTTTTGGGACAAGTGTGACCATGGCGTAATAGCGCACAAAATGCGTGCTAAAGGAATAACAGGAAAAGTCGGTCGATGGATCTTTTAATTTCCTCACTAACAGAACACAGAGAGTAGTGTTCAACAGAGTAAAGTCCGAGGCAGGCTACGGTGAAAAGCTTGTTCCACAAGGCACAGTACTCGCTCCCATCTTGTTCCTCATCCTTATATCCGACTTAGACAAGGATGTCAGCCACAGCACCGGGGTTTCCTTTGCAGTGACACCCGAATTGCATGACAGTGTCTTCCATTGCAGACACTGCAAAGCTCCAGGCAGACATCAACCAAATCTTTCAGTGGGCTGCAGAAAAACAATATGAAGTTCAACGATGAGAAATTTAAAATTACTCAGATATGGTAAACATGAGGAAATTAAATCTTCATCAGAGTACAAAACAAATTCTGCCACAAATAGGGGCGAAACACCAACGTCAAAGCCCTGGGAGTGATCATGTCGGAGGATCTTCCTTCAAGGACCATAACATTGTATAAATGCATCTGCTAGAAAGGGACAGGATGGATAATGAGAAACCTTCAAA